TCTTGCAATATTGGAAGCGCAAAGGCTCCGGTTTTACCCGAACCCGTTTGTGCAAGTGCGATCAAGTCTTTTCCTTTATACAAAAAAATCCATATTTAGAATCAGTAGACATATACATACAAAATCTATATGTGAAAATGGAGCTCAGAAATTTGCTAAAACCAACTGGGCAAAAAGTTAATAAATATTTGAAAATTTTGAAAAATAAGAAATATGAAAGCAAAGAGATACAAAAGTATGAGAGAGTGAACGAACCATCAAGGGCTGCAGGCATGGATTCGACTTGAATTGGGGTAGGGACTGTCCAGCCCAATTTTTGACATGCATCCACCAATTCTTCGCATATCCCCAAAGTCTTAAACGTCGTCGTCTGCTTCTCTTCGTCGGTGGCCATTCTCTCAAGTCCTGATTTTGCTGAGCAGAGGAAACAGCGGCGTATTAAGCTCAATTGCTCATCATAGGGAAGGGATGACGATAATGAATAGATACGTTTAGGGTTTGAGTTTCAGATAGAGTACCTGAAGCTGAAGCTTAGTCTGTGTGGCGCGAGAAGTTCGGGTCGTCGGCTTCCGCGGTTAGGGTTTTTCTGTGTTTGTTTGTTTGTATTGTTTTGTTTTTCGGTTTTTCAGTCTGTGTAAGGGTTTAAGGCGGTAAAAGACAACATGAAGATCAATTTTGGGGTTAATTACACTTTTGTCACTGTCATTTGGCTTTAATTTTATTTCAGTCTATAGTTCAAAAAAGAAACAAAAAAAGTTATTTCATTTTAAAAAACCAAGATAACTGAAGACGATTTTAATAGCATTTAGCAAAAAAACTTGCATTTCTCTCTTTTAAAAAAAATTAAATTATATATATATATATATGAGCGATAGTCTAAACAATAAAAGGAGAGGGTTTTTACACACTACCGAAGTGCTTTGTAGGTTTGAACTTGAGATCATTACTCTATGTTTTGTCTCATAGGTGCTTATTTTCAAAAAGCACTTAATTTTTAATAAATATTTTCATGTGTTTCTAATAAGATTGATTTACGAATAGTGATTATAGAGCATGAGAATTTTATACAAAAGCAATCTCAAACGAGCAATAATTCTCTTTGGTCCAAATTTAAATGAATTTATCTTTCCTTCCCTTTTTTCCCATCAATAATTTGTCTTTCATTGTGAACTTAATGTTATTTTATTATGGCTATAATTGGTATTAAAATTGGTTGGGCTGAAAACAATTGGGGCTGAGCCAATGGTAGCTTCATCAATGGGCTTAAACAAGAAAAGAAAAAGAAAAAGAAAAAAGAAAAAAGAAAAGAAATCTGAAGTGTCTCGCTCGCTCACGAGCAGGACCCATAATGCAAGAAAATTTTTGTTTCTGACTTCGCTGAGTGGAAGCCTGAAGAAGCAAGAAGCAGAGCTGGCTAGTTCCTGCAAAAAATTCCCAGCTCTCAAACTTGAGCTTCCACAGCCAGCTGCATATTTGCCCAGTTTTACACGCAGAAGCTACCTAAACCCAAAACCCATCTCTCTCCCATGCCTAGAAGAACCCACAAACTGTGGCATTCAGCCCCACCTATCAAACCACCCCAACCCAGAAATCTCATGCTTTGCTCAAAAGGGTTTCTCGGAAATCACCAAAGAAATATTCGGCAGAGCATTGCATGCATTATGCATAAAGGGGTTCGTGCCTCTCGGTGTATTCAGTTCGAATACTTTGGTAAATATGTACTCGAAGTTTGGTCGTATAGGGTATGCGCGCTATATATTTGATAATATTCCGGAGAGAAATGAAGCTTCTTGGAACACGATGATGTCGGGTTATGTACGAGTAGGTTTGTACCCCGAATCGATTGGATTCTTTTCTGGAATGATTGGCCGCGGGGTTAAGCCAAGTGGGTTTGTCATTGCTAGTTTGATAACTGCGTGTGATAAGTCGGCTTGTATGTTTAATGAAGGATTGCAACTTCATGCTTTTGTAGTTAAAATTGGTTTGTTATGTGATGTCTTTGTTGGTACTTCTCTTTTGCACTTCTATGGCACCTATGGTCTTGTGTCTAAATCCCGGAAGCTCTTTGAGGAGATGCCGGATAAGAACGTGGTTACTTGGACTTCTTTGGTTGTTGGACATTCAAATAATGGAGATTTGGGAGAAGTTATGAGTATATATAAGCGTATGAGACTTGAAGGAGTATGTTGCAATGATAACACATTTGCTATAGTCATTAGTACTTGTGGGATGCTGGAGGATGAGCTATTAGGTCACCAAGTTCTTGGACATGTTATGAAACTTGGACTAGAGAATAGTGTCTCTGTGGCAAACTCCCTCATATCCATGTATGGTGGCTGTGGTAATGTGGACGAGGCCTTCTATGTCTTTGATCACATGGATGAACGTGACATAATCTCATGGAATTCGATTATTTCTGCAAGTGCGCAAAATGGGCTTTGTGAAGAATCAATAAGGTGTTTTCACCATATGCGGCATGTTAATAAAGAAGTGAATTCCACAACACTTTCATCATTGTTGACAGTCTGTGGTTCCACTGATAAACTGAAGTGGGGCAGTGGAATTCATGGACTAGTAGTAAAATTTGGGCTGGAATCAAATGTTTGTGTTGGCAATACTCTTATAAGTATGTATTCTGAAGCTGGAAGATCTGAAGATGCTGAGTTAGTTTTCCAAAGAATGACAGAGAAGGATATAATCTCATGGAACTCTATGTTAGCATGCTATGTTCAGAATGAGGAGTGCCAAAAAGTCTTGAATCTTTTTGCAAAAATTCTTCGGATGAGAAAACCAATAAATTATGTGACTTTAACAAGTGCACTATCTGCCTGTCCGAACTCTGAATTTCTCATTCAAGGCAAAATTCTTCATGCTATTGCAGTCCTTACAGGCCTACAAGACAATGTGATAATTGGAAATGCACTAGTTACCATGTACGGAAAGTTTAGTATGGTGGTTGAAGCTGAAAAGGTATTGCAAATAATGCCCAAGCGAGATGAAGTTACTTGGAATGCCCTTATTGGTGGTTATGCCGAAAGCAAAGATCCAAATGAGGTGATAAAAGCTTTTAAATTAATGAGAGAAGAAGGAACTCCAGCAAACTACATCACAATAATCAATGTTCTTGGTGGTTTTATGACTCCTGGTGATTTACTAAAACATGGAATGCCCTTCCATGCACATATAGTTCTAACTGGATTTGAGTCAGACAAGTATGTTCAGAGTACCCTTATAACAATGTATGCTAAGTGTGGTGATTTGAATTCAAGTCATTCCATATTCAATGGATTAGATTTTAAGAACTCCATTGCATGGAATGCACTCATTGCTGCAAATGCTAATCATGGCTTAGAGAAAGCTTTGAAACTTGTTGTGATGATGAAGAAAGCTGGAGTGGACTTAGATCAGTTCAGCTTTTCAGTGGCACTTTCTGTTAGTGCTGACCTGGCTATGTTGGAGGAAGGCCAACAGCTTCATGGCCTGGTAGTTAAGCTTGGTTTTGACTCGGACCGTTATGTTACAAATGCTGCCATGGATATGTATGGAAAATGTGGGGAGATGGAGGATGTTTTGAAATTACTTCCCTCACCAACCAACAGATCACGATTATCATGGAACATTTTGATATCATCTTTTGCCAAACATGGGTGTTTCCAGAAGGCTAGGGAAGCTTTTCATGAAATGCTAAATCTTGGTACAAAACCTGACCATGTCACCTTTGTTTCACTTCTGTCTGCTTGCAGTCATGGGGGTCTGGTGGATGATGGTCTTGCATACTATTATGCAATGACCACAGAGTTTGGTGTCCCGCCAGGAATAGAGCATTGTGTGTGCATAATTGATCTTCTTGGACGATCAGGAAGGCTTGCTGAAGCTGAAAATTTCATAAAAGGAATGGTTGTCCAGCCCAATGACCTTGTGTGGCGGAGCTTGTTGGCTGCATGTAAAATCCATCGTAATGTAGAGCTAGGGAGGAAAGCTGCAGAACATCTTCTGGAGTTAGATCCATCAGATGATTCGGCTTACGTTCTTTTGTCAAATGTCTGTGCAACTACTGGTAGATGGGAGGAAGTAGAGAATGTAAGGAGGCAGATGGGATCGAGAAACATAACGAAGAAGCCTGCATGCAGTTGGGTCAAGTTGAAAACTGAGGTGAATAAATTTGGGATGGGAGAGCAATCCCATCCACAGACAGGGCAGATTTATGCCAAGTTGGGAGAGCTTATGAAGATGATTAGAGAAGCAGGTTATGTTCCTGATACAAGCTATGCACTGCAGGATACAGATGAAGAACAGAAGGAGCATAATCTTTGGAACCACAGTGAGAGAATTGCCCTTGCTTTTGGATTGATCAATACTCCAGAAGGTTCACCTGTTAAGGTTTTCAAGAATCTTCGTGTATGTGGTGATTGTCATTCTGTCTACAAGCATGTTAGTGCAGCAGTTGGGCGGAAAATCATACTGAGAGATCCTTACCGGTTTCACCATTTCAGTGACGGCAAGTGTTCTTGTTCTGATTACTGGTGAGGAAGCTACTTAAGAAGCTAAAAAACATAGTACTGAGTCAACGGATCATTGTTGCTTTGGTACCGAGCATAGGATTGGTTTGAACCCACAATGATCTAACTTCCATTGGGATTACTGGTTAGGGTATGGCATGAATGATTTGAATTTTTTTGTACTGTATCTCTGTACTCTTCTCTGAAATCTCAAGTAATTTTTTGATAATAGAAATTAAAATACAATTTCATCAAGCTAGGTCGCGCCCTAACAGTTTTGTGCTCTTCAATTTGACGCGACACATATTTCAACTCAGGCCAATTCTTTTCGTTGGGAAATTAAACTTGCAAATACTTCATTCCGGTGTGATTATTTGATTTTGGTCTTTTTAAGTTTTTTGACATTAAACTGCAACAAATTCCTGGGTACTGGATTGATAAGAAAGTTTCACAAAAGAAAAAATGCTCAGTTAACACTATGCACTCTCATTAAAGGGATCTCATCCAGTAAGTGATGTTGGTGCCTATTGGAAGCTTGCAGTTATAGAACAAAAGCCAGAGCCCCACAAGCAGGTATTATCATTAGAAGCGAGTGACTAATTAGGTTGAACAGCATTTCATAAAACAAAGAAAACCCCAAAGCGTTTCTTGGTAGCACAACAAAGCAGGGGGCTACAAAACCCCCAAACTACAAAAGCGTGAGTCTGTGGTTGCTCAACTTTTCTTCTTCTTTCTCAAACTACTCCACTTCGGCCAAGTAATCTTCAATTTCAGCTGGTGTAAGAACTCTGCAACAAGACGATCACAATTTTTTTTAAAAAAAAAATTTTTTTTATACAAAACAAAAGCAGAAGCTCACGCATGCCAGCCAAAGGATGAAACAGCTACTTCCCAATCAAAGCAAATAAAACCAAGGTAGTAGTTATAATTGTAAAACTATCCTATCAACAATTAAAAAGAATAAATCTAAAGAAACTAGTACGGTTACCTCCGATTTCTTTTCTTTTTTGGTTTTGTCAGTCAAAATCTGCTTGTTGAAAATATTTTGTGCATTTCATGTATTCTAGATATGTCAGAATCAGAATGCTATAACTTATGTTATGTGGTTTTCAGTTGTGCATTTACATAAAAAGTTTAAAACATCTCTGCATCTATGCATGTAAGTCTGTAGATAGATCCTGGGTCCGGGCTTGACTGCCACTTGGATGTTACTAAGTGAGCCAGATTTAATTTAACCCTCATTTCATCCCACAGCCGAAACTAAGTTAAAATGCACTCCTCTTAATACAAAGCTGGTAAAGATCAGCTCAGCTTTGCTTACATCAAGTTACTTTTCAATCTGCCAAATTTTAGCAAGAAAAACAAGAACGACAACAAACCAAGAAATATAGAAATAGTGTACATAATAACGGCAATATCATATAGGCATAATCAGGTTGTACAGGAAACTTGCCTGAATTTTTTGTCAGTACCAATTATGCCAATCTCAATGTTTTTGCCAGAAATTTGTCCTTCAAACCTAAAACCACACGCACAACGAAGGCTCAACAAAAAACTAACTCCTATTTGCATAATAGAACAAGAGAGTATAGCTGTGCTGAACACTATGTCAGAGGCCAATAAGCTTGAGAGTTGTCAAACATGAGACAAGCTACAGCTCTTTTGTCCTTTTAGTATTACAACCACCGCCTTTGATAGGTGACACAAGTATGGTACGGAACACTTGAATAGACCTTAAATGTATAATAATGAGTCATAATTGAGTAGCGTAAACCAAGAGAAATGAGAACCTTCGTAATTATCTAAGTTGTTTCATTTAGGAAGAAAAACAAAAATATTATATGAACTGAGAGATAAAATTCCTACCCTTCTTTCAGGGTCAATATTGCAGTGTGGACAGCATCGTCAAGTTCCATGTCCTCAGTGTACCTAGAATAAATAATCACATGAATCTTAACATAAATTCAAAGCAAACAATGAACTGAAGTCCAGGATAAAGAAAGAAAATGGAACTAATAAAATAACTGATTTGTGCATTCTGATGATTACACTTGCCAATACAGGAATAATGGAGATTTATAAAATAGAATGAAGACCATTCTTGAGAATCAAAGATTAGTAGTCCCAATATCCAATCTATTTAAATGATATCATCCCCCAAATTCCAACTTTGGTTCAGAATTAAAAGTATAGTGTAGGTAACAAGATTGTAAGCACGTTGTTGCTTATTTATTAGTCTCAACCTGAAGCAATTTATTTTAGTTCAGAAATTTATACAAATGGAAACATCAACCAGAAAAAAAGTTTCTTAAAATTGCCGACTGCAACTTGCCTTTTCTCAAGAAATGTTTTTGCATTAGATACATTTTTCCCCATAGCAGAAGCTTTCCATGAAAAGTATGAACCTGATGGGTCCACCTACAGCATAATAACAATCAGGGTAATGCACAAATCCGGTGGAAAATAAAATCGAAAAAAATTAAAGAATAAATAAGCTTTTACAAGATTGTGGTGGGTTGTGTGTGTGTGTGTGTGTGTGTGTGTGAGCTTTCCAACTAGAGTTTGACATAGATGATGTGAAATAATTGCTACTTGGCTAGGTTTCAAGAAATTATACGACATAGTTGGCCAATATAAATGGCATGTATGCACAATGGAGGAAGTCCACATGTAAGTATACTACCCAAACCAAAAGCCCTTTAGTAAAAGCAATCTTAAAAGCTTACATATTTCGTTGTAAATTAATTAAGTTTTTCCATACTCAGATCTCACTGCACATGATGAAAAGTCAAAGTACAATGTTTTGCAGCAAAAATCTTTCAACTGCAACTATAGTACTGGGAAACCTCTATAGCTTGTTCCCACAGACTCGAGCACAACGGCACCAAAAAATAGTTTAAACCAGCAGATGACAGAATTACATACCTGATATAGTTGTGGACCTTTGTCATCAAAGCCAGCAACCAGCAGTGAAACTCCAAAAGGCCTTACACCACTAGCAGAACAACAAAGACAAATGAGTTTCTAGAGTGGAACAGGACCTGAAGCTAATTGCAGACTCAAGTTGAACACTCATAACATGCATCTGCCTCTATACGAATTTTAAACGAGAAACATCCTACACAACCTTAATCTATTGAGCTCAAAATCTTCCAAATTCCAAGTTCCCCAGGTACACTTAATTTCAACAATAAAATCATTTAAAATACTAAATTTTGCAAATGATACTAAATTACCCTTCACTGATTTTCTATATAAAGCAACTCAAGAAGTAAATCTTTTACTTTCTATGGACCAAGAAGAATGTTAAAATATGAGCAAGAACATAGTTAAGAAATGGAAATCAGGCCATGGGAGAAACAATAATTACCCTGACTGTGTGAACTCCTGCATAACAGCAGCAATTTCCCTCACAAGTTGGGTAACGGGGATTGGTTCCTGAAAAATACCCACCGCATCACATTGTAAGTTATCATGCTCAAATACAGTAATTGACTAGGTGAATGTAGAGAGTATCAAAGAAACTTGTTTCAAGTGGAGGCTCCATATAACAAACTGGGGAGTAGGAGCAATCTCTTAAAAACAAGCTACCATCATAATCCGAAAATATTATGACTTCAATCAATTTGTAGCCCATCCAAAGACCAAAGATCATTTACTACACACCAACAAGCTCCAACAACCCATGTATGAACATTGAAATAAACAATCCAAAAAGAAAATGCTTAAATGGTGTGTTGCACATTGAAGAGAAATTGGATTCACCAGAATTCTTCTAATGAATCTGAACTGAACTTCCAATCCTTACCATATGATCAGTGAACAATACTTAATACTATGGACACAAACCAAGGGAATAAAATATGAAAACACAGAGAATTGAAGTTATACTTTGTACAACCGATGATATTGCTCTGCCTGTTTCCTGCTTTTACGAACCAGAACTCTGAAATCTGGACCCATTCCACTGCATGAGAGAACAGTAAATTTCAGTTAACCACAAGATTTGGCTGGGGAAACATGGAAAAGAAGAACTGGCAAATAATAAAAAGGAAAAAAAGAAAAGCTAACTTAAATTGTCAATTCAATGACAACTACAGTGTCACAGAAAAAAAAAAACATGGGCGCCTCATCTTTCTAGAAAAATACTTCTTAATACATAATTAAAAGGACAATCCCACCTTTTTGGAATTTTAACTGTACTAGTGACTTCCATACAATATCGAAACTAATATGTCATTGGGAGAAGGTCAAACAAAAGAAACAAGCATCGATTTGATTACATGTACACATCCAAGTATAAGGAATTAAGGCGACATATAATATGATAACATATGATTCAACGTCAATAACTCATCATAGTTAAACTTCACTACAATTGTCAGCTCACAAGATCTAATGGAAACAAGTAAATCAGATCATGTATAATTCCACAAGTCAAAGCAGGGAAATTTAAAAACTCAAACACATGGGCCGTCTAACATGGAACAAGAAAAATAATGTCAATGGCCACACGTATTTCATCTCAATAGAATATGAACAATGATATACAGAAGGGGATTCTACTGTCAAAAAAAACCCGTCAATTAAAACACATGGTACATCTTGAGAAAGTCTTTGGAGCCATTATTGGTAGAACTTATAAAATTTTTAGGTGGGGAAACATCATTTATGCCATGTGAGTCCTCTAAAATTGAATTGAGAAAAAAATGGATCCCACCAACAGTATTAGTTTTCAATTTAATGTTGGTTTGTTGTACCATGTCAAAATGATGACGTGGTACAACCATCATAGCTGAGACTTTCCCGAAGATCATCAGATATTGTAGAAGCAGTATAACACCAACAACAAAATAGATAGTATCAAATACCACAACTTGAAAAACTCAAGCATGTAGTACAGACAAACCTGTAAACAACTCCAATGTTTGGCGTCAATAACTGAATTTTCTGAACCTGCAAACCAAAAACTTGAAAGGTTACAAGAAGTCTCCAGTATACCATTTGATTATCTGAGAGGACGTACCATAGTGGTGGAAAGAAAACAAACTCATAATATTTCAACACAAAAAGTTTATGAGATACTCAAGCTATAAATCAATGCACAAGAAAGTTTATAGTCTATAAAAAAGAGTAGCTGTTCACTTACAGATGTTTCGTCAACTAATATAGATGGGAGTTTCTTCTCTGTTGCAATGACAACTCCATTAGCAGCTGCAACAACCAGATAGAATTTTCTAAACACCAACACCAAAAACACTAAACATTTGATAAGTTTCTAAACTTATCTGACACAAGAACCTATAAAATCGATAAGCTGTATCAAAAGGAAAAAGATCTGCAGTTCCAAATAATGTGCTGGAAACTCATTCCCTACCGACAACATTAAGTTCTTCATACTTACCAACGTGAATAAAAATTCTAAATATTTGATGCAACCACAGAGTTCTCCAATATTTGTTCATGCCAAATTCAGCAAATATGAACAGATTATTCATCTTTATACTGGATTATCAGTTCAGGCCAATTTAATCCGTCTCCTTTTATTCAAGATGAATACTTGATGCGTAAATTCAAATGTATCTGAAAAGAATTTAGAAAAAGGCATAAGAATTTGCGTACCTTTAATCCCTAAAGATGTCTGGCCAGACCCAACTGCTGTTAGGGCATGTTCAATCTGAACAAGCTTCCCAGAAGGACTGTATCAAAATAAATATGGAAAATTATGCTAAAATAACCCCATTTCTATACTTTTTGAGTCTAAATTGAGTTCACAAGTTCATACCTGAAGGTGGTAAGAGAAAATGAGTACTGACTATCCCCCATAATGTGTCACAGCCCAAAAGAACCTGCGGAAACAGAAATCAGAAAGAACCCATCAATTTTTAAGATCATAAACGCATGCAAATACATAATTGACACATAAATATCACTTAATTTGATAGCTCAAAATTAGACAAATAAATAAAATTCAAAATTTCATTGTTCCTTGAGCAGCAGAAGTAGGAAATTTGGTTTCTTTGGATACCAAACGGCGACTTAAGCTTGCGGTCTTTTGAGGCTTACCTCAGTGGATCAATCTCACAACCGCCTACGAGGGAGAGTTTTCTTGAAGAGTGCGTCTGGTGTGATTCAAGACGAAACTAGAAACGACGTCGTACTTGTTGGTATTTTCTCGTCTATAGTTGTCCCAAGCCCTGCTTAGCGAGGAATTTTTTCTGCTCTTGTAGGTCCTTTTCTTCCTTGTTTAGAGTTTAACTGAACAACTTTTTTTCTTGGTCCCTTGTAGGATTTTAATAATAATAAAATTTTAAATAATTATTTTTATCGTAGAATCTCACATTATAATTCTTCAGAAAAACTGAATTTAAAATTAACGAGATGGGTGACCAAAAAAAAAAATTCGATTATAAATTTACTCGAAATTGGCTTAACTCATGTCGTTTGTAGAGCGAGCTCGAGCTCAAGCTTGAGTGTCTCAGCGCATTTGTGTAATAAGCTTGAGCTTGATATGCTTAATAACAAATGCTATAGAGATCCAATGTAGGTAAGTGAAGATTAAACTACATATGTGTCAACTGCTTCATCTTGATATTCCCCTTCTTTTACCAGCTACAAATAAGAAAATTACAAATGGAATTAAGCTACATATGGTAATGTTTAGTGCTAAAACACAAACCATTTCCTAGGTAGACAGAACCTAATTATACAAAGCCCAAAAACAAATCAAAAGCAGCAAAGCAGGGATCATCTGTGCTGTTGCATTTCAGCCTTTAATTTTCCACATATGGGCGCACCGGGGCCCACTCGCAATCCCCTCGTAGTATTTGGATTCGAGCTTTTGCTTGTTCCAAACTTTCACAAAGTCTGAAAATAGTTGGCGTGCAGACTCTGAAGAAAGATCGGAGAAGAACACATCTTTCTCTTCTTTCAGCCATGTAGAAAACTCATTGTTCTTGGAAAAATAGTCATCAGTGGACAGCTCTTGGAACTCAATTTTCTGAAAGAAAAATTATAATTTCCTAAGTCCTAAGCATCGGAAAATTCATGCTCAAGAAACAGATACCTTCAAACACCATAATCGACAAGGCATATCAGCATCATCAAGTAATCAATATTAGGCACGCAAAGGGTCCCTAGCCAACTAGTCAAACTTCCCGAAACCTAATTCTACTTTCTACACCCACAATAGCTTCTACTTAAATCAAGGTGCATCTAAATTTCTTACGATTTCACAGTTTTTTACCAATTCATCATTATTCATTGAACAGGAGCTTATAATGTTGGATAAACTTCATCTTCCCTAGAGTTGGTCTTAATGCCATAAAACTACGGAGCAAACATTTGTCCGTTTACAGATATACTCTGTCTAGGTCTTCTTGAGCATCAGTGGCACCGTTCCATAGGTTGAGCACCATACGCTCTTAATTGCAACAAGAAACATTTCCAAACATAACTAAACAAACACTACTTCATGAGAAATATAACTTGCTTGCATGAAAAGAGAACTTATAATAAAAACTGCATATTGGAGCAATATCTTGTAAGTTGTTTTCTGGTTTCTAAAATTGAACATCACAATTAGGTACCCAATGGCAACTATGTGTTGCTGCTCTCCCTGTTCCCCGATTTTACCATACATTCCCTCACACAATCTAAACTTTTGATGCCCTTTAGAGATCTATGCAATAAGAATGTCTAAACGGTCGAAATCAAAGCCTTGCCTACTTTAGAGAATCTATGCAAACTTTACCTGACTATCTCACTTCTTCAATAACTCAGATCAGTTGAATTATACTAAAAGTATCAACGATTCTGCTAACATATTCAAGCACTTTGGATTATTTAACATTAAATGTAATGGCAAGTTATCATTTTTTGTAAGAAGTATATTGCTTCCCTAAGGATTAAAAGGCACAGAGAAAGGCCAGATTATACACAGTTGGGACAACATAAAACATGAAATAATTATTTCATAATTAGAAATAAGAAAGCTTACCGAGTGGCGATCACCTTTGTGAAGTTTACTTTTGTGCTTATCCTTTGTCTTCTTTTCTGAGGCACAATAGTATGTCAATATGATAAGTAATTTCCTATAAAGAGCCTCATCCTCGATAGGCAAAGAAATTAGTAACCACGGAAGTTTCTTGGATCATAATCCAATAGAAGACATTACTAAATGGTAAGTCAAATAATATAATTTTTTATAGTTAACCTCCTAGTTTTTTGTCTACTTTTTCAGTGTCAAAACAACTCGATCAAACAAAGTTTTTCCATACTCCAAAGAAAGGATGCGCCTAATAAACCTATGCCACTACTCTAATTGCATAGCAACTTGAAGCTTAATTTCTATCATTATTCAACTAGTAAGCATGTACATGTCTGATAAAACCATACCGATGCAATTATGCCATTACCCTACTTGGACTGGTTATTGATATATAATTTCTCATTATTCAACCAGTAGGTATATGAGGACAGCTTGAGGTCAAATCATAATGAATTTACTCTTAGACCCGATAAGTTTGATTCAATGAGTATCACAAAGTGATATTATCTTAGACCAGTAACCAATTGAAAATCCATCCTAAACTAGTGAAGAATATAAACTGATACAACATTTTTCACATTGTTCAAATGATGAAGTACGAGCCTCACGCTCATATGGAATTGATATACCTTTATCAGAATGGTGTTTCGAGTGCTTATGTGACCTTTTCTTGTCCTTTGACTTCTCCTTCTTATCACTCCTTCTGCTCTTCCTTTCCTCATCTTCTACAGGTCTATGCCTCTTACCTTTTCTCTCATCTGTACTTCCGCATTAGGAAAAAACAAAGAAAACAAATGAAACAATATACTCTTTTGGTTGCAAAAAGGAAACAAATGAAATGAATAATCAAATGGAACCAAACCCACATTCCAGTATACTCCCTGAGCAATAAATTACACAAATTTAGTGGAAACCCACAAAAATTTGTTTGATTAATGACAATATATTAGGAAAATATAAAAAATTCAAAATTTTCAACTAAGTCTGCAAGTAACCCACGTCTGAAAGCTATCTATTTGGCTCCACTGAGACGTGAGATTAAAACATAACAACAAAAGCTATGAAAAGGAGAATGTTTTCTTCATCTGTTTCTTTGCCTATCTCGATTTTCGCTTGATTTCTCAGCAACCAACCGGAGAGAAAGGAAAAACAAAAAAGGGAAGAGAGATTTTGAGTACCTTCAGAATCTGAAGAAGTGCTCCTTTTCCTACTCTTCTTCTTCTCCTCGGATTTCCTGTCGCTTCCCATTTGTATGTATTGCAGACGCGCGCGAGAGAGAGGGAGAGAGAGAGAGAGAGAGAGCAAGGCAACCTAAGGCTAAGGGAAAGCCTGGCGTACGCGGGTTGCAGAACCGTTAATCGTTTGGATCGAACCTACGGGCCGTCGGGTCGGGCCGACGTTTGGGCCGTAGATCATAAACCAACCCATGGAAATTGATCCATAATTACTTTTCAAAATTCTGGTAAAATGACTAATGAGTACTTGATGAACATGCAATTTACAGAATTATTTGCCAATTCCTTTGGACACATATATACTCTGAATCTCACCTAACCTGATAATTACACATCCTACATTGTGTTTTTCTTGATCAAAGGTGATTGTGATGAGGAAAATGCAAGTGTTTTGCATTCACTAAAAAGTTCGGATTTTGAATGTTGAAAAATTATGAAAGAATGATTCTTAAAGGAAAAGCCACGAATTTCTACAACAAAAGAAAATTTTACAATATCATGAATTAAAACCAGATAGGGTCATCGAATGCAAAGAAAAGAAAATTTTTACGGTACGAATTAATCATTTTGAGTTATTAAAATGAATGATTTTGAGTTATTAAAATGAATTGTTTTGAGTTATTAAAAAATGAATTGTTTTGAGTTATTAAAAAATGAATCGTTTTTTGTTTTTTGTTTTAGTTATTTTGTTCACAAGACCAATCAACTTCTTAAGTTGAGTTCTTCTGATTGTAATGTCTACCTAGTTGAGTTCCATCATTACATTGTACTTATCCATTTTATCTATTTTAGATATATCCATGCATGTTTGGTTTGATACTAGTTTTACCGCTGTCAAATTATACTCATGTCTCCTTCTTAGTAAGACTTGGACATGGAATTTTAAGAAAGAAAAGAAAGAAACCGTGATAAAATCCTTGCTGACGAAGAAATGATATATGAACCCTAATCTTGTATGGCAAAAAGAAAACAATCACAGTAGTCCTTGAGTTGTTCAATTTGGTTTTGCTAAACTTTTGTTCACAAGACCAATCAACTTCTACATAGTTAAGCTTTCTTTGCTTGCTGCTATCTGCAGATACTAAAAATTCACAAATGAACATGACTATTAAAGATGGCTAAAGGAATGAATGTGGTCTAACATGGCTAAAAGTTCTCTACTGTACAACCAGAGGGAACAAATATTTCAATTGAAATTCTCTTCCATCTCCATCATGTCCCCCGGTCTGATTATGTCAGGTAAGAACCAGCTAGCTAGAAACTGGCAGAGTGCATTCCAATCGGACCTGACCTTAAGATCCAGTGAGAACATTCAGGTTACACATATCTTCATCATAGCCCGGGCAAAGTCCATCCGGAAACTTGATCCCCATCGTCTGAAGCATAAGCTCTCACCAATCAGGCTGTCCTCTCATTAGCTCTGGTAATAATGAGCGTCAAAACCTGCCCCAGACGATATACCCATGATGATAGTTGCTGAAAGTATGGCATCCTCCTCCGTGCAGTGCAGGCTTCTCACTCACTCATGCCCCTTGATGCCATTGGGATGATGCCACGGGGGCCGCCATGGGTTATCCTTGCCTACTCTTCTTGTTACCAGTGTCTTCACAGAAAACTCCCATCTCATTGAGGAAACTAGGAGAAACAGTTGGGTCTGGATTCCCTGTCCCCTTGAAGTTGTGAAGGCTCTAGAGTGAATGAACTCGCATCCAATCTTCCGAATGTTGTGCACTCCTTCAGATATAAAACAAAACAAATGAACGCGTATGGCCGGGCGGCTATACCACTGATTAAAAATAAATAAAAAAGGACCCCCCGTATAGCCACACGGCTATACTTTTACATTTAAACAATATAATAAACAATTTTTAAGAAAGAATCCCAGTATACATTTAAAAAGTATAGCCGAGCGGCTATACTATTTATTAAAAAAGATAATTAAAAAAAGAACCCAGTATTACAAAATTAAAAAGGGACCCAGGGCGGCTATACCTGAACCCGTAGAGGTACTACTTATTAAAAAAAATTAAACAAAATAACCCAACTATAGCCGTGCGGCTATACTCTTGATTTTATAAAATAAATATATGAAATTACCTTGAGAGTATAGCCGCACGGCTATCCTATATTTTTTAAAAACCACAGTATAGCCGTGCGGCGATACTATTTATTTAAAAATATTTAAAGATACCCCAGTATAGCCGACCGGCTTTACTATTTATTTTAAAAAAGAATCCCAGTATACATTTAAGCACTTATGTATTCATTAAATGGATATCACATTTTAATAAAATATATAACCAACTTGTTTCCATGTAATCTTTTGCTGCCAATAAGTTAAAAACATGCTGATCTTTAGTTGTACAACAAAGTTTTTAAAAACCACAGTATAGCCGTGCGGCTATACTATTTATTTAAAAATATTTAAAGAGACCCCAGTATAGCCGACCGGCGTTACTATTTATTTTAAAAAAGAATCCCAGTATACATTTAAGCACTTATGTATTCATTAAATGGATATCACATTTTAATAAAATATATAACCAACTTGTTTCCATGTAATCTTTTGCTGCCAATAAGTTAAAAACATGCTGATCTTTAGTTGTACAACAAAGTCAATGAGTAAAAAAAACCGGTTGAAAATGAGATATCGAAACATGAAAGAATCAAGTTAAATATAAGAAATCGGAAAATCTGTAAAATATATGGAGTAAATTAGCGGATAGAATGAAGCAAGATCACCCATTTCAATATAAACCCAATTAGTAAAATAGAGTTGTTCACTTTTCTTGTGAACTTGTTTTATCATTCAAAGTAATTTTGTTGTAGCTTCATATATTATCGAATGAAAACTAAACTTTTGATTTCATTAGTTTTAAAGCTACTGACCATGAAATAAATTATGATATGTACAAGATTATGATATGTATCATGGATGTCATTTAGTCTTCTAAAAATCTTAAAATGTCAAAAGAGATTAGGATTAGGGTTCATATCTCATTTTCTTCCGCAAAGATTCTCATGGTTTCATGCTTCTGATCATCATGAATGTCATTTAGTGAGTCTTCTAAATCTTAAATGTCACAAGAGATTAGGATTAGGATTCATATCTCATTTTCTTCCGCAAAGATTCTCATGGTTTCTTTTTGTTTTTTTCTTTAAAACAAAGAAAAAGCTTCCAATTTTGCGTTTTTTTTATTTTTGTAACGAGTAAAAGGCTGATAAGTACAACAATTTAAATTAGATTAGATAAAATGATAAGTACAACCTTATGATTGAAATTATATATCCAACCAAAACAGAAAAAAAGAGTTTTCATTGAATATCTTTTTTTCTACATTTTTATTTTTTGAATATTGGAAATTACTTTTTGGGCCTAAAACCTAGCTAGGAAGGAAAGAAGTCCAATGATTGAGTCGGTTTCCTTTCCTAAGTCTATATAATTAGAGGTAGACCTTGGAACTTTTCATCAAAAAAAACAAAATCAGCGGAGCAGCAGCCCTATTCTGGAGCAAGGTGTCTCACCAAGCTAGCAATATTTGAAGTACGGGGCAGGACCTTCTTTTCTAAGAAGGACTTAAGAAGGTCTGGTCCGAATTTCGAATGTAGCTACCTTGGGTGACTTTCAACTGCCGATGACGAGAAGCATAGCTAGGTATTGAGTTGAGGTATGTATATGATTATCAACTTGAAGTTGCTGTTGGTTTCTATGAATCTTGAAACTCTTGGTTTTTCAATCTGATGCAATAGTTTTGTTTTTGCTGGTTGAAGTTGTTCTTTCTTGGATTTTAGCACTTCGGAATCTGAAAATGCTTATCTGGTTCAAGTTGTTCTTGCTTGTCATAGCATGATATTATTTATGATTTCTTTGAGCCTTTTGGCTCTAATTATATTCCCTTTCTTCTTGTACGGAGGTGTCTGTCATTGAATCAAGCATGTATTTGGATATTTTTATTTTTAATGCTATATTTCAATATATGACTAACCGATCTCAGAAACACTCGCTTATACTTTGAAATTGTTGAAATGCTTGAGGTGAAGAAGATGGCTCTAAAAATACTTGACACAGTTAATTCTGTTTCATTTCGTTTTGATGTTGCGATATTGGTTCCTATATGAATCTTGGGACTCTGGGTTTTTCAATCTGAAAATTCAAGTTGTTCTTTCCTTGTTTTTAACACTTTGGAATTTGAAGATTTTTATCTGGGAATTTGAAGATTTTTATCTGGGAATTTGAAGATCAGGGAATAGAATTTCACAGCTGTAACACTACAAATTTGAATATTGATCTCACAAACACCCAAAATATAAAAACCAGTTTTCATTTGAAATCATTGCTAATTACCTATACGGGTGCAGGCAAGGCAATTCACTCTCAATCATTTGAAATCATTTGAATGAGAACGGAAATTCATGTCCAAGTCTTACTAGGATTACTAATTATTAACATGTCTTTTTTGCCCATATGACTGTTTTCTTTAAATGCATTATATTTAAGAAGTATAGCGTGCGGCTATACTATTTATTAAAATTAAAATTAAAAAAGAGCCCCTCGCGGCTATACCACTTGTTAAAAAAACTTATATAAAAAAGGAAGCCCAGTATAGCCACTCGGCTATACTAGTTATCTTCTATATATATAAAGCAAAAGGCAGAGAATGATGAAACATTCAAAATACCAAAAAATGGCATTGGTTAATACAAATATTAAGAATTGAAAATTTTAATAAAATGATGATAATATGGTAAATTCACACCTTTTCATATTAAAAAAATTAAAATTAAAAGAAAAATCAGATAATTGATCCTATTTTTATGGAACACAACTACCCATTATCTTTTTTAATTCCAAACTAAATTTAAATTTTTTTAAAACAAAGCCTCGCGCAGGCGCGGAAGCACGTGCGTAGAGGCTAGTATATATAAAGCCTAAGGCAAACATTCAAAATACCAAAAAATGCCATTGGTTAATGCAAACATTAGAATTGAAATTATTAATTAAAGGAGGATAATATGGTAAATTCACACTTTCCATATTAAAAAAATTAAAATGAAAAGAAAAATCAAATAATGGATCCTATTTTTATGGAACAC